TTTTTTAAATATCAAAAACATCAATAACAGCAACCACTAACAAAGAGTACAGCATACAACCTACAACCTACAACCTACAACCTACAACCTACAACATACAACACACACCATACAACACACGACAAACACCATACAACATAAAACAACCTCGTTATCATATAATTAGATCATAATTTTCTTCTACTATCAGTCACCACCTGAAGAAAAGAATAGCGTATTACTCAGGACCATAGAAAAAGAAGAAAGGGATGCCTCACAAAATCACATGGTGAGAAAATTATTCTTGAAAGCTTTTCCTATATTATTAACACATCGAAAACAACAAAGAACATCAACAGCGACAATTACCTTCGTCACAACATTACCAACCGCAAACACAACAACAGCAGAAACAACCAACAACAGTACCAGCAGCAAACACAATGACAGCAACAGTAAACAGTAACAGCAGCAAATACAATGACAGCAACAGTATCAGTARCAGCAGCAGCAGCAAGAACAACATAAAAAGTATATCATATAATTATCATAGTATTATTACTAAAGAAAGCTGACAATATCACACGTAACATGAAGTAATGTTTCAAATAACTGTCTATCTGCTATCAGTCATCATCTGAAGAAACCAATAGCGTATTCCTCAGAATCTTAGAAAAAGAAGAAAGTGATGTTTCACAGAATATCATGGTGAGAAAAAGGAGAGTCTTGTTGTTGTTATTTGCTTTGTTTTTATTATCGTGGTTCATACTCTCTTTCATTTATAATACCACTCATTTGTTTTTATCAAGCTGAAAAATATGTCAGGCCTGATTGAAAAGACAAGGTTAATGAAGCGGACGTTACACATCACCAGCACTTTAACAACAAAGAACAATTCTTACTCATCAGCAACAACGACCACCATGCACCACAACAATATAACTACTTCTACTACTACAATAAAAACTGTGACCAACAGCATCCCCAACAAACAACAACAAACAACAAACGAAAATAGCATCCACAGCAAATAACAACGACAAATGCAATAGCAATAACTAAGGATCGTTATCCTTTACCTTATTACAAGAAATTTTCAAAACACTTTAGTCTCGCAATTTCGAAAAAGTCCCAAAATATCATCAACAAGAATAGATTTTCTAATAAGATTTTCCCCAGGTTTTTTTTTTTTTTTTTTTTTTTTTTTTTTTTTTTTTTTTTTTTTTTTTTTTTTTTTTTCTTTTAGTCATCATCTGAAGAAAACAATAGCATAATCAATAGGATCATGGAAAACGAAAGAAATGATGCCTACCAGATTCTCATGGTGAGAAATTGTGTTTGAAATTCTTATTAACGAGTGTCTATTGAAGGGAAGGGGGGGATTTATCCCTAACAGGGGCGCCGGCACTGTTGGATTTAATTTATTAGAGTAGCGCAGTCTGTTGTTCGTCATTGCTGTTCGCGGCTCTCGCTTGGCGAAATTAACCCTTGACAGGGCTTCGTTATAGTTAATTTGTCGTTTTATTCATGACACGTCTCTTTTATTTCAGCTTAATCCCGCTGAAGAACAAATAGCTAACGATCAGGAGGAAGAGCCGAGGAGGATAACGGTAAGAAACAATCGTGATTAGCACATTAGTTCATCAAGGAAACTGAGTTCCTTTTACAAATGTTTGGTCGACGCGGGCTCAAGAAGGACGGTAGCGCGCGGGTTTTGTCATTCGCGCGCACTATATATTCTCTGTCATCTTATATGATCCAAATTATTAAAGGTGGTTTCTTTTTTAACAGACTACTGAATCAAAAATCACCCAGACGGATCCAGTTCAACAAGAAAAGGTACGTCATTTAATTGTTTTCATATTAACTCAAAAAGACAAAATTTGTGAATGCATAGAGTGATTTTCATATGATCGTGAAAGAATAGGCAAACTAATAGTTAGTAGTAGACTCTAAACCAATGATTTTCTTTTGTTCTTTATCAACTATTACAAACTAAATGGTCTATTTTCTTTCACGGTCATGTGAAAATCATTCTAATTTTCTTTTCCAGCTAAATGCTGTGAAGTCTCAATATTTGATAGATTCTCTTGATGACCGCCACATTGTTTTGTGAAATCTCAAATATTTCAAAATAACTGCACCCTGAAACTAGCGGGGTCCTAGTCCATGAGAGATGGGGCTGTAAGCCGTGTGGGATGGGCTCGGAAATCATATAAGAACATGCGTAATAGGTAAATTATGAGCCTTGTATGAAACGACTGAAGAAGAGGACCAATGGGCCTTTCACAACTTCAAGTCGCGTAAAAAAATAAGCAATGAGCGTTTTACCTATTAAGCATGTTGTTATGGGATCATAGTCAATTAACTATGAGCAAATGATCGACGTAGATGATTTTACTTTTCACTGCTGGAAGGTAGCTGGCAACGACCAAATACACTAAAGAATTATGGTTCACTTATCTCAGAAAAAAAAGGTTACATTACTGATCATAAAGAGCTCAATGAATACCGCAACTCTAACTTTAAAATACGTCACTGATATGTTTTACATCATCAATAGGACGTTGCATGATGGCGTCTTTTGACTACCACTACCGTATCCCTTGCACACTTTCTTTTGTTCAGTTAATCAGCACCAATTGTCTTACTATTCTCATGAGGAAATACAAATTTCAATGAAAAAGAAAATTCGCGAAGCATATTGGTAGTGGAAGTCAAATATCGCCATCATGCAAACGTCCTATTGTTGTACTATTACAGCTCAGAGTCATAGAGTTTCTTGTTGCTCTAAGTCGATACGTCATGACGAACCTACGTTGGGTAAGTATGGTTGAGTATTAAAGTAGAGAGTGCATGGTAAACAAGTCTGGAGAATGCTAAGGAATATAAGAAACAAGTTAATAAGCCGTAAAAGAATAATCCCAATATATTTGTTTGTTTTTGTTTTTTCTTTTTCTTTTTCTTTTTCTTTTTTTTGTTTGTTTGTTTGTTTGTTTTTGTTGTTGTTGTTGTTGTTGTTGTTGCTGTTGTTTGTTTGTTTGTTTGTTCGTTTGTTTGTTTGTTGTTTTTTTTTTCTTGAAATCATATCAAAAGAAAACGCAGAGCGTCACGCTGTGCCAATCTAATGCAATCCAGAGTCCCTCCATCATGGCGGCTATGACATCACAGACACACCCTATAGTATAGAAGTACCATATAAAGTAACATGTTGTTACTTGAGTACAGCGGTACTTTGTCTTTTCAACGTACCATGCCAACCGCCAATTTCCCTATTTCAATCGTTTTTCTATCGAATATTTTTTACAAGAATCCTGACTTTTTTTTTTCTAATTTTTTTTCACTCTAGCCAGAACTGCCCCAGCTGCCCTATGCTTCAATATATGTTTTTGTGGTTATAGTTATGGTCATGTTGACAGCTTTGTATTTTTGCTAAAGAAACATAACTACCTCCGTTAAATAAATAAATGAAACTTGTAAACGTACGCATATTCACGGTCAGCGGTTAGTATGACTGTATATGCGCACTGAAGCATAAATGTCAATAAAATTACGAATACAAGCATCAGTGCTTATTAGTGATACTCAGTCAGGCAGTACCCAATTATGTATCTTTGCGCATGCGTTTTAATAATACTCAAAGTCTCAACCACCCTATTGTGTGTCTTTGCGTATGCACAATACTTGTATTTGAAATTACTTCATTGTGCATCTTTGCGCATGCGCAATACTGGCATTTGCAATCACCTCCTTGCGCATGCGCACTACTGGTACTCACAGTCACAATCACCCCATTGCTTGTCTTTGTCATAGTCATCGGTTGTTGCACACCAGGGCCTTTTATGATAGTCATCAATACACTTGTTGTATTGAGTTCCTTTATAGTTGAATGGAAAGACACAACACTTGCCCGTAGTTGTCTTCACGCTACACTGGCTTGCTGAGGGGAAAAATTGTGGGAAATTAACACAGACTAAACAAGCCTATATTGCTCTCAAAGCAATGATGTTTCGGCTATTACGTTGCTCTTCGTGCGTTAGTTTTCGTTTTAGGATCGGAAGAGTGTGCTTTACAGTAGAATGGTTGGGGAAACTTAAATGTGAGTTAGCATGGTGAGGACTTCTTATTCTTGGTGAGGTTTCCTTTTTTGTTATTATTTTGAGCACTAAAATAAGAAGCATTTTCTTTCTCTTATTTGTGTTTATATTTCCTTCAAAAAGCGCCTGCGCTTTCAAGTAGCCGCTTCGTGCTCACGCTTGAAAATTGCAGTCGGTGCTGTTTGAAAGACGTTTTGATACTAAAGCGCATATATTTGCTTGAACACTAAAATAGTTGATTCTCTCTATATAAGCATTTTCTTCCTTTTGTTCGTGTTGAATACATACATCCTTCATAATGGTTACGAAACTATGCTTAAAAACTCTCTACTGAAGAAAGCGCCTGCTCTTTCATCAAGCTGTCACCGTTATTCCATTGGATATTTGGCGATAAAATGACAGTTATTTGAAACCAATCACGAATATTATGGGTTAGCAAACAGACTACAGGACCGTTTCGGCCAGAGGGTCGTAACAAAAGTTCATGTTTGCGTGCCGAATCGTAGACTAATGACATGGCCGTTGCATGCTTTTCTGGCGTGAAAACCCAGTTCACTGACATCCACAGTATTCAATAAACTTGAAGAACCATACCTTGTGCATTACCTTGGCATACTTGAACTGGTGAAAAAGAAATGAAGTAAAAATCAACTTCTAAATTCTAATTCGATCTATCGGCTGCCTTACCAGTGGGTTGCAAAACCTGTTACGCTTCCGTCCACCATGGAGTAATAAATTCATTTAGATTATAAATCTGGATTGCGCAATCTCTGCGCAAGAAAATTAAATATGAATAAAAATTGATATTGATTGTCCAATTCCTTTGTACTGAAAAGAAGTGATTGAAAAATATCGTCATCGCTAATCATCATCGCCTTTACAGCAATGGCGCAGCTCAACGGGGTAAAACTGTAAGCATGTGAATTTGCCTCTGGCAGCCGCTATGCAGTCCATGTATGACCCAAGAGCACAGCTCTAACCAGTTTGAATTAGGAGGGAGGGAATGAAAGAATATTACATGGAATTAGATTTATACAAGGTACTCACCCAGGAAGGCGACTAACAATAAATATGCACATAACATGGTTAGATGGTGATGTTGCTACTTCACTATACGGAGATCTAGTCTGTGCTTACACAGCGCAGTTATGTGACCTTTTATCGGGGCATCACGTTAAAGGTGATAGCAAATGTTCAAACATGACGTGAAATAGAGTTTGATGTCCATTCCATGTGTTTGTTGTTGTCGAAAGGACTAAACTTTACTGTCAGGGGAGGGTAAAGTAGAAATGGAAGTGATAATGGAAGGATAGACGAAATAAGGAAAGCGGGACACACAAGCAAGCATGTATCGAAGCAATCAAGGAAGCAAGTAACATACAAACAAGCAAATAAGCTAATTAGCAAACAAACAAACAAGTAAGCGTACAAAAGCAAACGAGAAACAAGCAATGCAAGCGAATCAATAGAAAGTTGCAAAGAATCGAATAAGCATTAACGTCAACTCTCAGACACCCTCGGGACCGTCACTTGGTGTCCATGATAGCGAGCCACGGCAATTGCCAAGTCAATGATGGTCATTTCTTTGTAAGCATTCAGTTTTGACGGGGATTTTGTTCGTGTCCGTAATAGTGAGGTGTCTGTAATATCGGGCAAAAGTTGACTGACTGCATTGAGCATATGCCAAGCTCAACCCCAAGATCTACATTTTCTTACCTGGCTTAATGTGATGCCTTTTAACATACCCATCAATGTGACAATAAACTATAACATCCACTACCCCCTCCCCCCTCACCTCAGCCTCCTCCCCACCCCAACCCCCTCCTCTCATACTCTAATTCTTTTTTCGCTCTTATTCAATTCTCAACTGTTTAAACATCAAGTACAATACCTATTATATTAAGTGTAAAGATCCATTGTGGTTTATTGACTTTGGGGTATCTTTCCCCGTTGTCTGAATCAATACAGCTGCTTATACAGTGATGCTCTCAAGGAACTATGGGTTATTCCACAATAAGTGAGCCACTCGAGTCACAGCTCCACAGGAAGCCCAGTGCACCCCAAAATACGCGTTGGTTAAAAATTTCATTTTGATTTTGAAAATCAACCAGTCTTATTATGAATTTCATTTTCAGTTAAGTTCAGTTTTCCTCAAGGTCCATTTAAGGGAAACAAACTGGGCGTCGTGTAGTGAAATAATATACAGTCAATTCAAAAAACGTTGTCGTCGACCGGCTCAAGCCTACGCGACTGGACCGAAAGGAATATGGGTAAAAATCACTGAAGCGGTTAAATATTCGTTCTGAATTAATTTTTCCCGCTAGTAATAAGATAATAATGGCGAGAAAAAATCCATTAAATGCATGTCTTTGGGTTTAGGGAAAGAAAAACAAAGTAGGTATGATTCAGTTCACAATTTCGAAAATATGAAAGGCATTAAAAAAACGTCTCCTTCAACACTCCCCGCTCGCCTACGAAGGTTCGTGCTGTAAACTTAAACCAGGCATAACTAGTCAGATAAAATTATGGAGTCAACTCGGCTTCAATGATTGCTACCCAGAGTTCCTTTCGGTGCAGTCGCGTAGGCTTGAGTTGGTCGACGACAACGTTTTTTGAATTGACTGTATCCATAATAAAAACGAGAATCAAACGCCATTGCCACATTTTTTTCTCTACCAGTTGTTTATTTCTCATAGACATATATTAGCCAATAAGCAATCGCAAAATTCACTCAATGATTTATACTAATACATTAAATCTTGTCTATTTTTATCTCTCGAATAAAAAATAATAATCTGAATATTTTACAACTCATTTCTCAATCTGGAATCATGTCAATCATGAAAGCCAGGACAGCGATAGCTATCATAGTGTACAGCAGTAAACTAATGAGCATGCGCAGTTCATTACGAATATTTAAGCATGAGGTCTGGCAAGAGACTTGAAGAACTGACAATAATTCTCAATAAAATAATGAAAATGTACGCACTGAAGACTTTTTCTGAATGAAAAAATAAATATACAGATAAATAAACAAACGAGAAAATAATTTTGTGGTTTGAATTATTCAGGTACAGATACTCTATATAGAGGTTTTGCACCATCATGTGCCGGCGCCATAATCCAGATTGGACTGCCTGGGGTTAATGGCAGAACAATAAAATCCCTTAGCTCTCGGGAATTGAATTATTTCTCATGTAAAACGATTGTATTGTTCCTGCCATCTAACATGGCTGCCGTCACGTCATGGTTTAAAACCTTTATTCAGAATAGATCTTACATTTTACTCACTACCTCGATTCTCATTGCCCAAGACCCCTCACCGACCAATGCATGATATCCTGTGAACTCGACATGATAAATGTAATAACAATAGGTTTTCCTGCAGATATTACAGTAACCATGTCAATTTCATGTTATTAAAATTAGTATTTTTACACAAGTGAATATAATAAAGCCGGCACGCTCATTGATCACAATATAATTTACGTCTTATACTGCTATATTCATCTACAGGTGGTTATAGCGCACGCTAGTTTGTCGATTTGTGCCGCTTGCAGAGATAAATAAAATTTGGAGAAAAAACCTCTCTCTCCATTATTTATTATATTCACTTGTGTTAAAAATACTAAAACAAATATCACGACCTAGACCTTTTATCCTCCTCAGCTTACAATATCATGCTCTCAATCTCTTCCAATGATTGTATATTGATAGAATAAATCGTTTGAATCTCTCTATCAGAATACAATGACATGCATTTGCCCAATTCTCTTGAGAAACGAATGGGAGACTAGATGCTAATAAAATCTACAACTCGGAGACTGGGCAAAGCATTTGGTTAAATAAGAGATAACTAGCTAAAAACTAGTGTGGTTAGATAGTTATCGGCTGAGTTAAAAAATAATAATTTCGAACTAAAGTTTGAGTAGGTATAAAGATTATTAGGTCACCCATCCAGGCACTAACCTCGATCAATCTGGCTTGACTTATAATAAGTATATTTGATGGCCAAGGTTTTTTCTAAGGTTTCAATAAATGAAGCGACCACAAGAAACGTGAAAACAATACACCAGATAGACTAGATAATTCTCCACTTCAAATCCACGTGCATAAATTGAACCCTATACAAATAAAGAAGGCCAGCTCTGATTAACAGTGAATTCAAAGCTGGTATATGGTCTCTTGGAAAATGACAAAATACTGATAACTAACGTCTTAGGATTAACGCCCGGCTATATTTAAGGCGGCACCGCCATTATACGTGGCAGCCGCAACCGAGACATATAGATAGATAGCAGTGAATATAATAATTCTTTCACCATCTAGAGAGCTATGATGATGGAGACCACTACGATGAAGAGGAACACCTTCACAGCAGGCCCTTTATTAATGTCAGCACCTGTCAATTGATAGAAGATTTTCTGAAGGTAAGTTGTTTTCATAATCTTTCTAGTTAGAAACAATTTCTGTGAGTATTCTGTCTTTGTTTGCTATGCTATTTGTTTGGATGTCCGCGTATATCTTTAAAAAATAAAGGTTGACACTAACTTAAAGAAATGATCTGTTTTGAATTTTCGGTTGCCAACTGCGACCTTTCGCGGAGACTAAATCAACCAGTTCGGTTCATTTATCATCCCTTTGGGTTGTGATTAAAGAAGTTTATTATCGTAAAAACGGCTTCCATTCATTGACGCTTTTTTTTGTATAGGGTTGAATGTAATGACTGACTGATAGGGTTGACTGATCTTGTTAGATTGTCCAAGGTGGCGGCTGTGTCATTTTTATTTTTGAGTCATGCTGTTGTACTACTAGTCTTCTACGCAGCCGCTATTAGTGTCATCACGCTCACTACCTTAGGTACCTTAAGCTGCAGGACAATCTCGTACCCAGAGCCTGCGTTTCTTCGGACCTGCGGCGAAGAACGGGGGTTCTGTCACACTCCATTTTTTGGAGCATGCGTAAGTTTCCAATTGAAACATTATCAATGAAAATCATGCTTTCAAACAGAGTTCTGTGTTTACTACCGATCAAAATTAAAATTAGAAATCGGGAACATATCTTTATTTTTGGCAAGTCTTTTGAGGCATGCGCTCTTCTACCGCGAAGTCCAAGAAATCCTGTTCTCAAAAAGAATGGATTATGCCCAGAGCCCTCGTTCTTCGCCGCAGGCCAGTAGAAACGCAGGCTCTGGGTGCTGGACGGCAAAGACGACGGCAAGCATACAACAGCACACACTAATTGCGCTCTTCAATAGATACTCTTTAGAATGTACGAAATACTGTGCAACATTGCTGGCTTATGCTGAAAGTAAGACGTGAAATGTCCTAGTTTTACGTAGTAACGAGAATGGCTACTCCAAAAGCTTATCCGTTGATGATTTTCATTAAGTAAAGCGCTCCCAAAAGACGTCGTATAACTCTACAACGGGGACGGTGCTTATTAAGTTAAGACAAACATGAAATAAATATAGTACAATAGAAGGTTAAAGCGCCTCAGCTTAAGATCCCTTTTATAGCGGCTGCGTAGAAGACTATTGCACTGCAAGAATAACACCATTGTGCCAAGGACACAGAAGCGATTCACCAACCCATGGTTGCACTTACCACCTTTTGGAGGATATGCACTGCGAGGTGGCGGAATCGTAGTTGATGCAGACAAATGAACCTTCGCGCAAGTCTTGCCATCAGGAGACAGATCCATTCCCGTGGGACATTCGCAGGTGTGAGTTTTAGTCACTGAAGAGAAGACACACTCGTGACTACATCCGCCATTGTTGAGTTCACAAGGATTCGTTTCTAAAATAAATAAAAAAAATGAGCGAAATGACACAGTCTTATTGGTTGCTAGAAATAAGTATCCTTTCTGTTCTTGTGTGGATTATTTTCAAGGTGTAAGTTTCTATAAGTTCTATTTAGATATAAGTTTCTATAGTTTTATTTAGATATCTATGTTTTTACTTTTCAACAAACTTTTATAATGATTATTATTATGTATAATAGCCAATTAATGTTGAAAGTTATTCAATCATTGATTCATAATTTTATGTAAAACAATAAGTCTATCAAATATGATGTATTTATAAAGTTGTTTGTAATTATTATTGTTTAAAGATTTTAATGTATACCACTTAACCACACTAAATATCTATATAGTTATAGTTTTATATGTTTTATCAGATCTTCTTGTAAAGCGGTGCTTATTAAGTAAAATACTAGACAAACATGAATTAATAGTACAATAGAAGGTTAAAGCGCCTCAGCTTAAGGTCCCTACTTGTAGCGGCTGCGTAGAAGACTATTGCACTGCAAGAATAACACCATTGTGCCAAGGACACAGAAGCGATTCACCAACCCATGGTTGCACTTACCACTTTTTGGAGGATATGTACTGCGAGGTGGCGGAATCGTAGTTGATGCAGACAAATGAACCTTCGCGCAAGTCTTGCCATCAGGAGACAGATCCATTCCCGTGGGACATTCGCAGGTGTGAGTTTTAGTCACTGAAGAGAAGACACACTCGTGACTACATCCGCCATTGTTGAGTTCACAAGGATTCGTTTCTAAAATAAATAAAAAAATGAGCGAAATGACACAGTCTTATTGCATGGTTGCTAAAAATAGATATCCTTTCTGGTCTTGTGTGGATTACTTTCTCTCCCAAGGAAAGGGAACCATGTATGATGGAATTAGTTTGTAGTTTTATCACCGAGAAAAATAAACCAAACTATAATTCATTCTGTTCAATATAAAATAGGGAAAAGAATGGAATGAGCTGCGGGAATGAAGTGTATTCCTTTCTGAAGGTGATTTGATTATAATGCCGGTATACTCATTGAAAAATGGACCAGGCGTAGCTAAGTAGGATGTAGTGCACGAAGACAAGAAGGATGATGATAGGAGGATGATAGCTGGGATGCGAAAACAGACTGAGCTAGATAGATTATGAAATGTAAAGCTATTTTTGCAGAATTACCTTTCACGACAACCGACTTCGCCTGAAAAATAAACAAATAGAAAAAGTATCGGTAACAATCCACATGAACAAAACTAGAAACAGGCTAATGAAGATATTTATTATAAGGTCAATTGTTGAGAGAAAATACCTTGACAACGAGTTTAGTAAATCCGCACACTTCGTCAATCGTATCGTCGTTAAACCAAATCTAAAATGTATAAAAATGTTAAAATGTCTCAGCGAAGGGAGGGGTAAAGGAGTGGGCAAGGCTGGAAGGATACACGTTTTTTACTCAATTTAACATAAACATTACCTCTACTCCATAGTACTTCTGATCAGTTTGTTTGATGTTCGTCAGTTCAAAGCTGATCCTTCCTGTCGACAGGTCTCCAGCCCATCTCACTCGTCCTATGTATTCTTTCACCTTCTCCTTTGCACTCGTGTAAAAGGAAGTTTCGTTGCCATTTCGAACAATAGACATTATAGTGTTGTTCAGAGTATTAACGTTTGCTCGCCAGGTTCCAAAGTAGAGAGTGTTGAATGAGTAGTTTGAGAGTTTCCAGGTAAATTTGACTGTTTCGTCCTGGTATGCTACCATCTGTTTGTCAGGTTGTGACTTGAAATGCGGCTTTTCACCTTAGCATGAAAGAAAAAGTGAAAAGTATGTCAAAGGACATTGATTTAACCAGCCCACCAGCCAACCAGCCCACCAGCCCACCAGCCAACCAGCCAACCAGCCAACCAGCTAACCAGCTAACCAGCCAACCAGCCCACCAGCCCACCAGCCAACCAGCCAACCAGCCAACCAGCCAACCAGCCAACCAGCTAACCAGCCAACCAGCCCACCAGCCAACCAGCCAACCAGCCAACCAGCCAACCAGCCCACCAGCCCACCAGCCCACCAGCCAACCAGCCAACCAGCTAACCAGCCCACCAGCCCACCAGCCCACCAGCCCACCAGCCCACCAGCCCACCAGCCAACCAGCCCACCAGCCAACCAGCCGAGCAATTACCTCGAATAAATAGCATTGTTTTATTCTCCATAACTTGTCCAGTTCCTCCAAGTCTAAGCGAGTATATCCCTTCATCTTCAGGGTTTAGATTATCCAGTACGAATGTAGCCATACTCGTAGGGGACGTCGAGGAGAACAGGACATCTGCATTTCTAATGCCTGTAGAACAGTTAGATGTACTAACAAYTTTCTTTTTGATCTGGAAAAACGAAAGGAGAAAAATTGTTGGCATTAAATGTGAGCAAAAATGTATTTACGTATCCTTTTCACTAATGATACTTCTGTTGCTACTACTAATACTAATACCAAGGTGCTGCTTTAGCATTTGATGAAGATATGTTCGAGTAATTTGGCAAATAAAAGTGGCCAGTTGTAGGATCTGTACTGAACCTGAAAGTACTCCAAACTATTCCAGTGATAAATATCTATAAATTTCTTCGAGAATTTAGAAAATAGAAAACGCTAAAAGGTATAACATATACACTCTAATTAAGTGCAATTTATTTATTTATTATTTTTTTAATTTTGAAAAAAAAAGCAGTTAAATGGAAAAAGTGTTATATCTCACTCGCAATGCATGATGGAATAACCCTGGATCTTGCTCTTGTATTGACTTAAAAGTATTTGTTAATTGCTTTTCCTGCTTTTGTCACCAAGATCAAAATCTCTTTTAGTCTAATGGGCGTAATATTTACAACCATCACTCCTCGTACAGGGATCTTCCGTGAGGTTCACTCCACACGCACTACCCCTACATTCGCGATCACTGAATTTACGATTGCATCAAGCTAAAACAAATACACAACACTCAAACTTAAATGTTGATTTTTGCGTGGGAAGAACCAGAGAATCAGGAGAAAACGACTAACGACTTTGACTGTCAGCACAAGTACAATACCGTTTATAGTACGAATTCCTACCTCAATTGTGCATAAAACCCCATACGTATTTTTTCTGTATACTCCGAACACGAGTAACGACAGGCTTGCCTGGTCTTCTTCTGTCAATCTGTAACGCCAGGTAAAGTATGCAGAACCATGCGCTGATTGTGTGATGCGACTTGGAGCCGAAGTGAAAACCGATCGGTGCTAAAATGTTCAAATAGGAATGAATATTAATTATGGTTATTTGTTTGGAAGTATTCAAGTACCAAGACAATTGTCATTTAGCAGTTGTAAGCATTGGATGGGAAACAAAAGAATGGAGGTTTTTGAAGGAAGGGCTACTAACTGTCAGCTTAGGTAGGTTCAAAGGGACAAAAAAAAAAAAAAAAAAACGGTACAGACAATGAATTAATGAGCATATGGATATCAAAATGTGCATATTTAATGAAGCCTGGGGTGACGTCACATTCAGTAACATAATGGAACCTTCATGACTTAAAAACTTTGCCTAAAAACCCTAAAAAGTCCTAAAAACTTTGTTTTTTCCTTAAC